CGTTTTGTGCAATTCAGCCCATCGAACGATTGCTTATTAATGATTTTCACTGCTTTGTACTTTATTTTGTGCAAAAATAGTTGAAACACTGAAAAATAGAAATTTCACGCACATGCGCATGAAAGCTGAATTCGAAACACTGAAGAGTGAACATCTTTCCGTGATTCCCGAGTTAACAGTTCACCCTCCAAATTTTTCACGAGGCCATAGGTGACACCCGACAGCGCGGGAAAGTTGAATTCGAATAGACAAGGCTGAGCATGGACAGGGGATCATTACCCTAAAATTTCAGTTTCTTAGACTCCGTGGTCCCCGAGATAATAATTTACCCGCAAAAACTTTCACTAGCCCGTAGGTGATACCCGGGAGGGCGAGAACGGTGGATTTGAATGGGCAAGGTTGAACCTGGGCAGTGGGTCATTATCCTAAAACTTCAGCTTCCTAGGCCCCGTGGTTTCCAAGATAATAACTTACCCATCAAAAATTTTCACGGGGCCATACTTGTTATCCGCGGGCAGGGGAAAGCTGAATTTAAATTTTCTGGGTAGTACGTGGGCGGGGGACGTGCTCACAAAATTTCAGCGTTCTATCTTTCGTGGTTCCCGAGATACTGATTTTACTCGAAAAACTTTTACGGGGCCGTATGTGTCACCCGTGGGTACGGGGAGGCTGAATTTAAATTTGCCTCGTCACCCGTTGGCGGGTGCCGTACGAGTTACCCGCAGGTACGGGAAGGCTGAATTTAAATTTGCCGCGTCACCCGTTGGCGGAGAGTACTATACCAAAATTTCAGCCGCCTAGCTTTTGTGGTTCCCGAGTTGAAAGTGCGGGACAAAATGTGGGAGACACACAAACAAACACACACACACACACAAACAAACACACACACAGACACAGACAACCCTGTGACAATATGCGTTTTGTACTTCTGTTACACAGCACAAAACGCATAAAAAGGTGAAATTTTAACGGGATGTTCCTTTACATTTGTGACGGCCAGTCCCAATTCTTCTAGCTAGGAGCATGTTCGGAAAAAACAGTGCCGTTAGCGATAAAAATCTGCGGGGAACCGCGCAAAAAACGAATCTTCGCACTGGCAGTCAGTACCGCTGGCCAATTATAAACTGTTACTAAAAGTTGGCTTGCCCTACTACGGTTGATGCGCGAATTGCGAAAGCCCTATTGGTGATGGGGAACGCTACCACCGAGCATTGGGTAGGGCGGATTTCAGGGGTGGTGGGCAGGGAGCGAGTGGTGTACTGCGGGTTTCAAGCACGACGTGTTGAGGGAGGGGAAAAGCTGGGGTGGATGACTAGTAAGACTTAGCTGGGCTGCGCAATATGAATTCTTCTGAGGCTTTAGTGTTTCACCAAGCGCTGAGCAGATTTAGGGAATGGTAGATGGGAAGAAGGGGCAGTGTGCTATGGGTTCCGGATTCTGTGACCCAGAGTGGAAAGGGGGCCTAAAATAAATAAATTGCAGCGCGCACCAGACTGCCGGTGCGCCATCATGCGTTTTGTGCAATTCAGCCCATCGAACGATTGCCTATTAATGATTTTCACTGCTTTGTACTTTCGTCTATGCAAAAGTAGTTCAAAAATTGGAAAATATTTAAAAATTTCACGCACCAACGCATGAAAGCTGAATTCGAAACCTTGAAGGGTGAATGTCTTTCCGTGATTCCCTAGTTAATAGTTTAGCCAAAATTCTCACGAGGCCGTAGGTGATACTCAACAGCGAGGAAACGCTGAATTTAAATAGGCAAGGTTGAGCGTGGC